CCAGCAGAACACCACTACCCTACTCTGAACTGAATGGTTACAGCCATCTTTGTGGAACCCATCCAGCAGGTTGCCTCCATGGTCAACCACCCATGCAGCTTGGAACTAGCAAGTTGTAAGGACTCCCGTACTCCATTGGAAGAAAGGGGAGGAAAAGTGCAGTGGAGATTCCGTTCGGACTGCAACACCCGAGACAGTGCAATGGGTGATTACGAAACCATGTTTTGAAAAGCAGACCACACCGATTTATTCAACCTAGGCATGGCAGGGATGGGCAGCAATCCCCTTCTGCTTTACCCATGCCTTCCATAGGTGGTACAGTCTAGAACTGGCATATTATGATGCAATTATCACGAGTAATTAACACTCTAGTGATCTTGTGAAATACACCATCTCAAGGGTAAGCATACATAGTCATGGAAAATGTATAGAAATCAACATGGGTTACAGTGCAGATTTCATATCAAGATGTCTATGAATGGTTATAGCCATATAAGTGGAACCCATTCTGAGTATGGACAGAGCAGGATCCAAAGTGAAGCTGAAGCAGGGGCACCTGGAAAAAAGGAAGCATTAGTGAGGGCGTACCTAATGTCACAGCCATGGCGAAGTTTGTAGAATAACCACAGGTGGCAGGCGATACCCCAAGGAAACAGAAACAGTAGGTAGTGGGAGATGAACGTGTGCAGAGTCGTCCACATGGCGATCATAGAATGTCTTCCAATGGCCAACAAAGTAAGGGCATGAAGCCAGAAGAAACTGATAAACATGGAAAGGACAGGGGAAGCAAAGACCCTGTGGAAGCAGAAAAAATGAAATGTATGGGATAAAACCGCCCAAAACTCCGAAACTGAGGAGACCAAAGAAACCCTCTCAAAGAGCCACGTGAGAAACTCGGGGATGCAGGCAACCATTGAGACAGACGCCTGGAAACCCCGAGTCAATGCCCAGAAGCGATAAATGCTCCATTCGTATTGATAGATGGCCAAAGAAAAAGGGTGAATGAAATGGACTAAATGTGAAGCTACTCTGTGAGAGAAACTAGAACTCCTTGCCAAGTATGGAGGACAGATGGCACAGGATGTAGCGCCAGTGCCTGAAGTTGATGGAGTAGGTCAGGACAGAAGAGGAAGGGGAGGGATCACCTGCAGGTAGAGCAACTGAGGAAACCAAGGTTAAGCAGGGCAGTAAGGAGCAATCAGAAGGACCATGCATGGATGAGACCATCCAATGAAGTAAACAGATGGGAGGATAAACATAAAGGAACAGATGAGACCAATTCTGGCTGAAGGAATCGACAGCCAAGGCTCGAGGATAGGGGACCAAAACCGAGGTAATTTGTGATTGATAGTGATGGCAAAGGCAATGGTATGGGGTGTAGCCAGATGCAGACAGAGACACCGAAAAACGGCAAGATGCAGGGACCACTCCATGAGATGAAATAGATCCAGCCGGGAAAGACAATCGCCTACGAGATTGAAAGCATCTGGTACATGACACGCCATCAAACAAATGTGATGTTTGTTGGCCCAAAAAAGGGAAGATCCATAGCGCAAAAACCTAGAGATCTGGACCTGATGCCACATTGGTGATTGTTGAAATGGATCATTACCACCAACAGCTGGCAAGAGAAAGAAATTGATCCAAAGACCGACAAACAGCCAGAAGTTTGAGAAGAGAACTCTCATCCACAGACCAAGAACCCAAAATCTCCTAGTGATCTACCCAGGCATTCCAGCCCTGAAGGGATGCATCTGTGAACAGATGTAAATCTGGCCATGGAGAAGGAAGTAGGCCCCCTACCGACGTGTGAGCTCTGTTCAACCACCAATGGAGATCGTCTACAAGGGATAAGGGAATGTATACAGAAGTATCAAATGGATCCCGAGTATGGAAGGGGTCATCCCGAAAATCAATAGAACCTCGCGAGCTGTAAGTGAGGGAACAGACAGGGCTTTCCGAATGGCCCGTTCCATAGAATGGAGCTGGAGAAGAAAAGGTTAGGCCCGACTGAGATGGGTGGTAAAGAAACCACCCAAATGGATAAGGTATTGGGTAGGACAAAGGAAAGACTTCTTCAATTTGACTAATCATCCCACCTGCACAACTTCGGCCAGTAGCTGACGAGTGTGACAGCCCAATTCTTATTCGGAATGAGCAAGAATAAACCAGTCGTCCAAATAAATATGGAAGCACAAACCCATGGCATGAATATGTTAAGCAAAGGAGCAGACTAACTGTGTAGGTACGCATTGGAAATGTCCACCTTGGCCATCCAAAGACCCGGAGAAAATGCCCACCAAAGAGAAAGGTATGTCTCTATGGTGAGGAGTGTGAAGATACTGAGATGGGATAAATCAATGTGAACCTGGCTCAAAAGCCTGTTGTGTGATGAGGTCCTGAACTGCCTCTGGCGGATGCTGGTATGTCGAGGGATTCCGAGGAGAATGGAAGGGAATGGGATCTTTGGATAATGGAGGAAGGGAGAGAAAGGTGAAGAGCATCTTGTGAACCCAGACATTGGTGAGAAAAGGTCCCCACAAATGAATGAAACTCAATAGACAAGCCTCCACTGGGCCCGAATAGACCACATAGTCACCAGAACTGCTATTAGCAGATCGTGCATCATCAAGTAAATAGTCGAAATGTGGAACCATGTGGGACAGGAAGAGGTTGGGAAGTGGAAGGTCATGGGACAGGAATAGGCACCACGCTCAGATCTGACTGTGACAAACGAGTAACCGAGTGAGTAAGGGTATAATGTCGATAGGCCAAGGCCACCTATGACTACAAAGACTCAAGAATGGAGTCAAACACATAACGCTGCAAAAACGGCGCCATGCGGAGGTCCCTCAGATAAGGAGCCTGGAGATGGGTCCATGCCAAAACCACATCATGGCCCAAGAGGTCCCGACAACAAACAAACAATGTTTGAAGCACAAGAGCTAAAGTCGACAGACGAACCAATGTAGAAGTAAGGATGAAGAGGATGTCAGCATTAAATCTCCTCAGGGTTCCTGTGAAGAGCCTCTTTCACTCCACAAAAAGGTAGAACCGAACCCAACAACTGTTGGTCGAGAAAAGGAAAATCCGCTCGATGATAAGCAAGGGTAAACCGATCCGAAGTCCGTGGGGGGACGAGCCATACTAAGGCCCTCCCCCAGTTGAGAGGCAAATCAGTTCGTGTGAACCCTGATATGTAAGAGGGGAAGGTCTAGGGCCATAAGAAACAAGTGTAAGAGACAAATCATAACATATCTGAGAGATAAAGTCTGAAAAGACTGATGACAGACGAGCTTAATCATCAGGTATTGATCAGAAAGGAGCAGCAAACTCCTGGTGAGGAGAGAAACGATAAAAATCGTCTACAGCCTGGTCCGATAGGCTCAGGAGGAAATGGGGCAGAAGTAGGCGAGACAGCTAAGCTCATATACCGCTCAATATCCCGGCGATGGAACGACTGGTCGCCTGCACCTGAAAATGCTGAAAATACGACATCAGACACTGGAGAAGTAATCGAAATGGTGACTGTAACTTCGGAATTCATAAGTATGAAAAACGAGGAAGTAATTTTTTATTACAATCGTAACTCCACAACTGTGAAATGTCAGAAATAAAGTTAAAAAAATATAAAAAGATGAAAAAATAAACCACTTCAAGGTAACTAAATAGTGTAAACAAGAACATATGAACTGGACCGTGTAGAGGGAATTACATGTGTCACGCGATAGTATTGCTCTCCTATTGGTGGAGAGGTGATGCATGATGATTTGCATGAGAGACGTGTTGGAAGTTTGGATTCCAATAGAGGGAGGATGAAGGCTTGTGGCATGCGTTTCTGAAAAAATTTCGCATATAGAGGGCAGCACAAAACGAGAAAAGCTAATCTTGTTAGAAGAGGGAGAGTACCTTACACCTATCTGCGTTAACCATCCCTAATTTGGAAGTGATAGACTAGATTAGAGGGAAAGCAGCTAGTCAATACTACCTACTGCCAACTCTTAGGCTACTATTTACCAACATTACAACACTCCCATGGTTGAAAGGGCGAGCAAGCTCGGATAGAGGATTTGAACCCACGAACTGAATATTGACTTAAGTGCCATAACCACCAGGTCAGGACTTTATGTTTCTTATTAAGACATTCTAGTCTTTTGATAAGAAGAACGAATACCAAAAGTTATATGGTATACATTGTTTATTAATTAATACATCCCGACCTGGAAATAACGAATATAATCATGTAAAATTTCTTGTATTGCAGTAACTATAGATATAAGTATTCTTTACGTAATCAAAAAATATTAATAGCTTTTCCATTGTAATACAAACAACAAAAAGTATTAAAAATGTTCAACTACATTAATTTACATTACTAATTCTGAATCCTCTCATATTGTCATGGCCGTTCTTTTACTCATCTGCTGATTTCTTAAATGAACAATGCAGATTTAAGTTTGTGTATATACTTCAGAAATAGTTATCATGTATTTGTTACATAAACTATTGAGTAAATTGTGATGTATTCCTCACCTAAACATATAAAAATATTTTAAGTTTAATAGTGTGTTTTCTGTGGCTAAAATGAATGAATGGTTTTGATTCATGTTTAGAAACTTCAAATACCTGGAGTCAAGTTGACAAATCTACAGTAGTATAATAATGACATTATAAAGGAAACTATTAAATACAGACCTTTCATGTTATTTTGGCATTATCATAGTTCCACAGTTTTAGACTTATGTAAATTCATTTATTTGTATAGTATATCACAATGTGCAGAAATTTTCTTTCAAGACATATGTCTTTCAATGTAAAGTTACGTACTAATTAACCTTATAAAATATAAATTATACTTCTGGAACCGTCATTATTATATGACAATAATTTTAAAATCATGTATGAAGACAATGAGCTTCTGGCAGTTACAAATTTTCTACACTCCTTTTCTTTCCCTCACCTATTGAGAATTATAAACTTCAAATCACATAATGACAAAATGTATGCAATAACATTTAATTCCAGCAATATCTATAAAATATGGCATGGAAGACTTAGTATTTACAAGGAAATATGTAAGTGAAAAAAGCAAATTTTATTGTTTACATTGTATGTATTATTAGTCTTCCTTCAGAATTGCAATTGTCGGTTTCTTGCTCATGAGGGAAAGGATAACGGCTCCGACAGCAGCACTTCCTGCTCCACTGACTCCTGGACCATGGATGGAGATGCTTTGGGCAACTCCTGCAACAAGGGGAGAGAGCATACGAGCCAAGGATGTGATACTTTGTCCAAGTCCTACAACTGCCCCAATTTCATCTTTATGGCACCTGTCGACAGTGATCTTTGTAATGGAAACTCGACCAACAGCATTACTGATGCATAATGGTACTAAGCAGCACATAAGTATCAATGTAGTTGGGGCATAGGTCAGCCCAACAAGAGACAATGTTTGTGTGACTGCTACAAACAGAAGGAGTTTTGTGTGATCCTTGTACCAGTGTGCCAAAGTACCTACAAGGAAGCCAGAAACTGCACTTACAATTCCTTGGAAAGAAATAATATAACCCACAGTTTTGGCACTAAAGTTAAACATATAGTCGAGTAACAAGGCAAAATTGCTACGGTAAATGAGTGTAGCAAAACTTAGGAAAAAGCGTACCAAGAAGTGGTCCCAGTGGCTCGACCACTTAATTTGCTTAATAAAATGGATGATCTGTGCAACTCCTGCATTTTCTTGGGCTTTGTTGGTTTTGATAGGCTTTACATCAGGCATTAAAAGCCAAACTAGTCCTGAAAAAGAAATAATACTAATATATTTTACGAAACATATTTAAAGGTAAAAACTAATAGCAAGAACTATCACATCATCAATCATAATTTGGTTGATATAACCACAGCACTTTATCATAAAAAACACTGATAACTTACAATAATAAAATCTAAAATTGTTCATATTTAGTTAAACTTTTATCAAACTTCTTCTACAGTGAAAATTTACTTTCAAAATTGCATGTTTGCTTCCTCTAGCAGCAGAAGTGTACTTATTTTTTTATTTCCTTTTTTATATGTTTATTCTACTGTTTAATCTATGAATCTTTTCTGGATCAGTAGTACCAATAACTTTAATTTTGTTTGTGTTTTATTGAGTATATTATATTTTTCCACTTATATTTGGTTGGTGTAGTCACAGCTCTTTTGTTTTAAGTTGTTTTTTTTTTTATCAACGTCGTTACTGTTTTCTTTAGCACTGTTTATTTTTTCAATGAGTTTACAGTTTTTTTTAGCAATTTGCATTTTCAAAACCAGTCAGCCCTTAATTTATATCTTTAAAATATTTCTAAAATCTTGTTGCTGTTTTTCTGAATCACATTATTTGGTCTACATGTCTCTCTCTTTGGTCCAAGCCATTGGTCAATTACAGCAGAAATCACTGTTACACCTTACACCACATTCCACCATAACAATAAGCATACTTCAGCACTTTAAGCACGTGCTACTAGAAATCACAAGGCTACTTTCTTCAGTTTCTTGTTAGTAAACAGATAAACAATTATAAATTATTAATTGATCTTAATAACTGAGGTAAAAAGAATACTAAAAAAAAATATACCTATACCATCCCAGTCAGATGAAACACACACATCCACACAAAAATAGACTAACTTATTTTGGGATTCACACATTGAGATGTGCAGATGATCCACATATATTTTGTGGTTTTTTAACATATAGTCATTAGGATTTTACAGCAAAGCATGTAGAATATTCCTTATTCCATACACGATTTCAGCATTATAAGTCTTCAGATTTACTGCTGTGCCACTGGGGAGCAGCACAAAGTACCTATGCACAAAGTACCTTATTTCTTTTAAATGAGTAATATGCCAATATGTTTTTAAAATGTGTTTAATTCATAGATGCAAATAATTGAAAGATGGATTGTTTTTTGTTATGTTTTCTGTTTGTTGCTAGCAGTTTGATTTTTTTTACAATACAAAATGGATAACCCAGTTGTATGCAAGTATTATGATTATATTTCAGTTATTAATATATGAAGAAATTAGATACAAAATCCTGCATATGAAATTTTCCCTTTGAGAAAAGCAGCTTCTTCTATTTGCTGCTTTCACAAAATATGCATTTATGACAAAAATTGAGTTATTTATTAAATAAAACTAATATATGTATTATTTTATGGTAGTTTTCACATATTTAACTATTACGTATTTCAAAATTTACGAAACATGTATTATTATTATTATTGGACAAAATGCTTTATATCCATCAATACATTGCTACTGGAGGCTCAGTTACTTCAGGAATGGGGTAAACCACATTTTGCATCTAAGCTCTTCATGTATTTTGTGATTTTTAACATATAGTCATTAGGATTTTACAGTAAAGCTTGCAGAATATTCCTTATTCCATACATGATCTGCTAAACAAATCATGATTCAAATTAATACTACCACAAACTAAAATGGTATTTCAATATAGTTTAAAAAAAAAAATATTATGTTATATATATTCTTCCAAGATCTAACAGTCAAATTTTAATTAGCTCATACTATAGACAAATGCACAGTTCAGAATTTTCAAGAACTTGTGTGGCTCCTTAGAAATTTACCCAAAATGTTTTTCTAGCAATAGAACAAATGATGCAAAAAAAACCTATCCAAGAACAAAGTCTAAAGGTAAAATTTGTTGTCCTGGGTATAAGTGATACAGATTTCAAACTTCTGTTATAATTGTCAAGCAAATCACACACACTTATTCAAAATCTGAATTGGTTGATTTAACCAGTAAGTTAAATTATCATAAATTCCATTACATTGTTATATTCAACTTCTAATATTTTGTTTAATGTTTCAATGACTTGCTTAATGAACAAGTACAATACTGTGAGGGTTCCTACTTGGACCAAGGTTAGCTTACACGCTACTCTGTTACCAAGAATAAACATGGCTTGAAAGTCATACAGACTAGTCCTGTACAACAGATACACTGTATATAGATGACAGTATTCTCTGTTACCATTTCCTTGAATACTTTAATTCACAACATTAGTAAATTAAGTTTATTTGTGAAACTGTATGTTAATCAAACAATACTTTTCCCAAATAGTCTTATAAACTATGACTCCTCTGGTTACCCTACTTTTGTTGGGTGTTTTACTATATTAGGTATTTTTATTCCATTTTTAGTACCAGTGAGTTTACTTATTCTCTACTAAACAATGCCTACATTCAGTGCTTGACTTATTTGATACTACACTCTTAAGATTTTGTTTCTCTTAGTATATTACAAACTGCAATGTCTATCATTACCTTTTTATTGTTAATTAAACTTGTTAACCTAGACTACAACAGTGCTTGATATAAATATGTGCAAGGGCAGATCTAGCCTTTTCATCTGAAGGTTGTTAATTTGTGAAACAAGACGTACTTCATTGAAAAGTGTACAGTCTTCTCTATGTATGTGTGTGTGTGTGTGTGAGAGAGAGAGAGAGAGATTATGGCTATATTGAATATATTTCTATTACTTAATTTAACTTCAGTGATTTCCATACAAAGTTATCATTAACAATCTAAGGAAAATTCCCTGTCCATTAACAATCTTTTTTTTATCAATTGACAAATGAAACTGTTAATATACTCGCATGGTAAATTCTAAAATATGCGATATAAGTAAAGATGAAGGACTGTCAAAAATGTTTCATCTCACTCTGAAAAAAAGATAAGCTTCTCTGTTTTCTTACTATTATCCAAGTTCTATAAAACAACTTACGATATAAAAACTAAACTAAATATACTTAACTATATTTTGGATAATTAATACTTTACTACTAATAATAATAGAAAAATAATTTTTAAAAAATGTAAATAAATGTGTAATTTGTCATGATGAATTATCTGGAATCAATCTCATAATAAGAAGCATAATGAAACATATAAACTTTATGATCAACAGCAGAATAAAAACAACAACAAAAGCTTACCACCACATAATAAAAAGACAGATGCTCCAATTGTGCATACCCAGAAAAATCCATGAGGAGTTTCAGCTAAATGACCTCCTATAGTTGGACCTACAATAAAGCCAAGGCTAGACATGGCATTGAAACGACCAAACACACCAGATTCTGTATCAGGAAGAGAGACATCAGCAAGATAGGCTCTACATAATGTTTGAGTGTGCTTGAATAATCCTAGAATAAAAACATTATCATATTTATTTCTCTTTTGCTCACATACATGTGAAGTAGCTTACACTAATGCACAGGACAGTCACACATGATATATAAGCTACAATTTAGTGGTGAAAATATAGACTTTTATGCAAGTGTACATTTGTGCTAATTGTGAATCTGACCTCATATGGGATTCACAGTAATTGTTTCAATTTGCTAGCCATACACAGATGTGATTTCCTAAATATGTATTAACCATTGACTTTTATTTTACCAAATACACTTTGTTTGAAATTACCATCTTGTTTTGTAGTCAAAATATACCAACTTTATCTTTAATATACTTTTGCGTGTTAATACATAAGCATTTTGTCCATACACACATGGTATCTACTTTACATGGCCCTTTATTTATTGTATAATTCACAAGCTCTTTTTAGTAACAAGTCATCATCTTGGTTAGTTTATATAATAGACAATATAAAAATATATGAAGGACAATGACAGTTGTGTTTATCAAAACTAAAGATGATTTGGAAAGATGTCAAGACTAAATGTAAAAATCCTGAATGTCTTTTTTTTTTAGCTTTTTTTTTTTTTAGAAATCCAAGTTGTTTTTTCATGTATTATAATGATTAATTTGAAGAAGCCACAGGCCACTGAAATATAGTTTTGGAGAAGAATGCTCGGGATAGCATGGACTGAAAAAGTTACAAATGAAAAAGTGCTAGAAAGAGCAAAAGCAAAGAAATCTCTTACAAAAACCATCAACAAAAGACAGTTAAAATTTGTAGGGTATGTTATCCATGAAGAAGGTTGAAAATATCAAATACTGACAAGGGAAAAAGAGACAGAGAAAAGCAAAGAACAAAATACATTACTAGTCTGAGGAAGTGGACTGACAACTCAGCACTGAAAGATAATAACATCATCCAGTTAACTCAAGACAAAGAAAGATGGAGAGCCATGATCACCAACATCTGCTCACAGACAAAGCACAAGAGAGTGAGAGAATGATTAATTAACCTCAGGTGCAAAACATGATGTCTTGTTAGTTCAATGTTACATTCTACCTACCTGCCATGACTCGAGCCAAAATAACAAAACCTAGATCAGGAGCTACACCGAGTAAAGCATAACTGGTCCCACTGACAAGAAAGCAGATCTGAAGAACAAACTTTCTCCCTCTGACATCACTCCAGCTGCCCTGAAGAAGAACAGATTAGTACAGCTATACACATATATGAAAGTTTGACTACAAAACTGTTACTTTTTTTATGAAGAGAAAATATTTCATTTATCAATATTACATGTACAAACAATACTTTTCTAATGTAAGAAAAAGAAAGACCTTCTGGCCTATTGGTGTGCTCAGTGAGGGGTCAGTCGGGTCTGTATTCACTGTCTTCTCTAGCTGATATATCTGATGAAAATATATTTTTCTCCTTGTCATTGTACTCATCTAACACTCACCGTATTTTCTTCGGGGTCAGTGAGCATACTCACTTTCTCGACCCACTGCAAGATGTTGAAGCACATGCTTCTTTCATGTTTATCTCAGGGTAACTGAGGCCTATAATTTTTGTCTAGCTATTTATAGACATCGGGGGAGACATCTATGGGTCACTGGTATTACAGAGTATTAGCTGGGATTACAAACAGTAGCAGGAAAAACTAAAATGTCATATGACACATAGAGCAGTTTACTAGGGAAACATCTCATCATGCACAGAGCAGTGAAAGGGTTAAATAACAGCATTGTAAAAAAATTTAAACTTGAGTTTTTATTTAATTACATCTTTAATTAGGAAATTACATGATATTATGTAGATCATAATAACACTGGGAAAAATGTGTGTTCTCAAGATAAGTTTAATTTCAAATTAAAAACTATTTGAATTAAACTACTATCAAAGTTTGACAATAACACTTATTTGATGAGTAGAGAAGAGTAAATATTTTATAGCCAATTTTGTTTGTAGCCTGATTGCACAAGTAAACAGCTTCAATGTAAAACACAAATAGTTTCATAGATTTTCAAAAATAAAAAGTAGGACTTTTCAAAATGTCTTAAGTAGCCCATGGATATAATGCAAGTATTATGAGATTAAGTTACCATGCAATAATTTTTAGTGCAATGAAGGTTATTAATATAAGTATTATCTCTCTTAATAAAATGCAAATATTTTGTCTTTTGACATAATACATGTATTACATAATCCTTTGCTGCACCAAAAAACATTGATTGGTAATTTATATTTATAACACTTGCATAAGAAAAAGGTTAATTAATAGAGTACTGTTAAGATTTGAATAAATCAGGGTGATTAATCATCTCTTCAATGTCTGATGAAAATAAACAAGGAATGTTAAGTTTAAAGATAAAAGTTAATAAGATATTCTAATTCTTTTATGTTTTAATGAATATATGGCTTTTAAATGTTGGTTTTAAAATAATGTTCTATGCTAAAACAAACGTTAGACATACACATGTACATTTTACGTGTGTTAAAATACTTCAGGTTAGTTACAGTGATGTATTAAAGTTTTTGCCATCCCTAGACCTATCCAGAAGTACTGTCACCCAGCTCCATGGACTAGACATAATCTCAACCAAGAGCTATGAAACATTTTAGAGATCTTGGTCTCAACACTAAAATACATGTGACTAAAGACATAAATAGAAATAAAATGCTGAGAGTGTTGTTGGTGTTGTGTTCACTATATATGTTTATTCTCTTTCTTTAAACGATGTTGCCAGAACATTTTCGCTGCCCCATAAACTTTGCTACTCAAGGCCTGGGCCTAGTTGGCCTGTGCAGAAAAATATGTCACAGGTTAGTTATAGAGTGTAGTAAATCTTGCTGTTTGAGTCCTTATACCTAAAATAAACCAAATTAAAAATTTGTTGCTTTCAAATATGCGACTTTTCTCTGTTTATTGTGTAAATTTATTACTTTATTTCCACTGGTAACAAAGCTTAAATAATGCTTGAGCCAACTAATTAATGAAAGTTAAAATTCTTGGTGGTAGAATCATAAATTATCACACAGGTTCCCAACAGAAAGCCGATAATTTGTTCCACGTTATAACTGTGTTTCAGTAGAATGTAGCAAGTAGTTCTTGGAACATGGTAAATGCTAGTTATAAGCATTTTAGGATCATCTCCCAAGTAACCAGCAAAAATACTATTTGCTAATTATATTATTTAATGTTGTGGTCAACTATATTTTCTTTGTGAACAACCAGAGATTTTCCTTGTTATCCACCATGGAATAATGGAAAAAAAAAGGTTTCAATTTACTGCATCATGATAAATGTAACAATAAAGTTATGTTGCAAAAACACTGCATACGACCTTTTTCAATGTCTAGTATAAACTTAAAATTAATTCAGTTTTAAAATACGATTTTCTTAGGGATTTCTTCATCCTAAAATAATACTAGGTGCCTGAGTGTGCTTTTTTAAACATATATGGGCAAGTAATTTTAAGTTCCTACCTGCCCTAGGCAAGTAATCTAAAAAATAAAATCAAAACACTTTTTTTTTATGGTGAAAACAAGTAACTTTAAATTCTGCTAGCCTTGTTGAAAATATTTAATTGAAACCTTTGCATAAAGACCCAATTACTTACAAACCAAAAGCAGTAGCCTAGTTGAGTCTAATAGCTCCTTATTATCAAATAGAAATGCAATGAAATCTGCTTGAAAAAAGTAAAATACAGAGTCTATCATTTATTTAAAAATGTATTGAATAATGGCAACTAATAATAAAAATGTTAAACAATGGTATTATGATAACTACTAAGAAACATTTTAATACAATGGTATAATAATAAATACTGAACAGCAATGGAATGTTTCCAAATAAACATTAGCTACTTTTACATTTACAATAAAAACAATAAAACTACAAAATATTACAGTAACTCCTTGTATAAGAATTTTGGAATATCATACTTTCTTTTGTAAGTGTGTGTGCATGAGGTAACATAAGTTTGCATGCAATTAGAAGCTCTTTTGGCTCAGCTGTTTCTTATACCTTAGAGATAGTAACATAAGAATACAACAGTAGTCAACATACCACCAGGGGGCTGGAAAACAATTGAAGTCCACCATACACTGACCCTGAAAAAAAAAGAACTTATAAAAATAATGGTTTTTGTCAAATCTTACAAGTGAAAAACAGTAATAACAACGATACTCTATTTTTTAGTTTACTCACACATTTCTCACTTATTTAAATTTCCTTAGTTTATAACTAACTATACCATTTCAAGTGTTTTCAGAAGTTAAATAAGCTAGTTTTGGTAATTCTACTATGTTAAACTGTAAGAACAAGAGCCATGATTGAATCACAACTTTTGATTAACTCACCAATGATCCCACCAAGGAAATGCGTTGCTCCCATGTTCCGAGCATAAGTCAGAAGCAATGGGAATATCATACTGACAGCTGTCAAATCCTACAATAATATAAAGTGTCTTGAGAATGAAGTATGTTAAATGAGCACACTGTACAGGTTGATATACCATGCAGTAACTAGTAATTTGTTTTTAAAAAACAGCATTTCCCATCACAATCAAACCCACTAAATGTTTATTTGAATTGATACACCAAGTAGCAAAAGAAATATTAATTAATAATTTGTACAATTCCTATTATTATTACGATAATCTAGTTTTATAAGAAGCTTGCAATTCAGTGAAGTAAAATTAAAAGCAGAAAACCCACAGAGTGGCATGATACGACCACTGGGTAACCAGCTGATGAAGCAAAATACAGTATTGTCTGGAAAAACATATATTAGCTTTGATGGATCATGCAATAAAACCACTAAATGACTGATATGGAATTCAAAAACAAAGTGGATAAAGGCAACCATAAAGCAGGATGTTAACATTAAGAGAGGACATGTGAAGAATGAAGAGTTTTGTGAAACAAGAGCTCAATGTATGACTTAAGGTATGCTGATTGTAAATGGAAAAGTAAGAATGATTTAAACTAAACCAATTGTTTGTTTGTTTTGGATTTCGCGCAAAGCTACACGAGGGCTATCTGCGCTAGCCGTTCCTAATTTAGCAGTTTAAGACTAGAGGGAAGGCAGCTAGTCATCACCCACCGCCAACTCTTGGGCTACTCTTTTACCACCGAATAGTGGGATTGACTGTCACATTACAACACCCCCACGGCTGAAAGGTCGAGCATGTTTAGCGGGACGGGGATTCGAACCCGCGACCCTCAGATTGCGAGTCAAGCGCCCTAACCACTTGGCCATGCCGAGCCAACTAAACCAACTGAGAAAGTAAAGCTCACAAAAGAGGCTCTTTTGTGAAAAAACTCTGCATAAGAATCAAGGGAGGACATACATTAGCAAAAAATATCCTAAAGACAGGGTGTTACACAATTCTTGGAAGATATACAGGCCAAAGAATACATCTCAAGCTAAAAGACTCAGTATTAAATTTAAAGCCAAAGAATGCCAAACCAACGAGTTCATCATTTAAATATCATAGACGTCCAGCAAGTTTTGTCAGGACGATTTTCAAAGACAAAATATACCTTCCTATACTTAACAAAACATTTAGGATGTTAACATCATAATAAGGAGCAGTGAACCATGCCATAAAATACATAAAACAACAAAAATGCAATGTCATGAAATCCTATTTCCTCATGGCCAGTTAGCTTAAACTGTCCCATAAAAATCCAGCTCTTGAGGACATATAATGCCTTGGTCATCCATCGTGCATGATACAGTGCTCCAGGTGCTACAAATCAAGTAGGTATGCCACCAAGAAAGGCTATGGCTAGTTCAAGAAGCCCTTGATAATCATCTGTAGGCTGACTGACCTGATGTTGTCGTGTAGTAAATTCAGTGACACTGTCCTAGCTTCCTCAATGGTTTATGCTAATACATCATGGTCAACTGCAGTTTTATAGCTGGACTGGTCCATGTATTCCCAAAATTGCTGGAATGCATTGAAAATTACAATATCTGGATCAGAAAAAAAAGCCCTGTAGTTCTTGAAAATACATTCCAGGATAAGTTCTTACTTAATTTTTGTTCTAACAGTACATATGCTCCATTTCTGTGACCAGTGTTGCTTACTGTTGTGTCAAATCAAACTGCCTTTACCCAATCAATAACTCCCCACTCTTTCAGCACATGTGTCACAGCAGAAGCTCTTGAGTGCTAGATATCAACCATGGAATATTTATGACGTTCTGGAACATTCTAGAATATTTAGAATATGCAGATATAATGCAAGTTACTAGGTAAAATTTCAACTACCTTGAGCAACCCTTAAATGTTATTCAATTGGGATAACATTTGGTGTAAATTACTTATTTATATATTTGACCAAAGTTAGGGAGTGAGAGTGTTGTAACTCAAAACTTCAAAAATAAGAACCACCCTAAATTAACCAGTTGTTATTTAAAATACAAATATGGAAAATTATAATTCATCCCTGAATAAAAATTACATTATTTTTTTATTAAAGTAGCCAATAGATCTGAAAAAAATGAATATCTAATAGTGGTACTTTTTTGTTAACACATCTATTTCCACAAGTGAGACCAGCATGCCACTAAAAGTCATGTGCCAAGATTCATTCTTAAGGTACTTCAGCAATTGAATATTCATAGCACTTTGGAAGCTTAGTGGCAGACTTATTCTTCCATAGACTGATATTTCAAGTGAGAGTTTGGAAAAATTTTAAAATTTTGTAATGGATGTAGAAGAGTATTCTTAATGTGGATTAATTTTTCTAATTGTTATATTGTAAATGATGATTTAACTCAATGCGCTAAATAGACACATGTTGCCTTTTTTATTAAGTGCAAAAACAATAATAGAAATTCTAACTTGTACTGAAATTGAAAGCAAGTAATTTTCTTTTCATAAGTGATGTTAAACTGTATTATAACTTTATTTTGGGCAATCTGAAAACCTTTAGAAATTTCTGTCTGTCAAAACTGACACATAAAAATCCACACCTACCCTCTTTAGATATAACTGGTATGTTATACAAAAATCAGTCAAACTTATCCAAAATTGATAAAACCAAATAATTACATGGTAAAATTCATCCAAGGTCTGAAACTTGTATGTTGAGACTTTTCTGTGGCTGAGTAGGATGCTAAATTTCATAAGCTAAGCACCATAAGAATACTCGAAAAAAAAAAAAAAAGAGTTGAATAAAACCAATGAAAAAAAAAGAATCTCACAGAAGCATAATTCTTTTAAAATAAAATACATACAAAAAATAAGGAGCCACTTGGTTCTTCAAAGCTTTCCTTACTCTTAAGAAAAGAAAACTTTACCACTACCACTTTATTTTTCAACAAATCATTAATTTCCCTCTTAAGGTACTGTTTGTTGTTTCTAGTAATATGGTAAATAGGATTAAAGGTTGTATCTACAGAAATATTGAACACAAATATAAGAGGTTATAATTTCATTGTATAGACCATTCGTCTGGCCTCAGTTAGAGCACTGTGTTCAGTCTCTTCCTTAGCTTCAGAATTGTTGAAAAGGGTTCAGAAGAAGACTATTAGAACAGAAGTGGCAGTACAGCAAAGTAGCCAAGACTGAAAACATACACTACTGAGCAGAGCGAGTCACAAATGTTTAGCAGTTTATATTTTAACAGTTGCACTACAAATACAAAACAAATATGCATATACAACATACAGAGAAAAAAACAAACACATATGCATAATAATTGCAAAAAATCTTTTAACTATACAAAAAAAAATGCAAACATAAATTTAAAAACTTTCCAAAGCAAAAAGACAGGCTATATGCAAGAGCCTTCTGCCCCTATTGTCTTAAAATCAAAATTAAAAAGTCTCTATGGCAGCCATTTGGAAATTAAGTACAGGTATATTTAGCACCAATAACAGAAGGCATTCCTTTACACAGAGAGTCAGGGGTGTCTAGAAGAAACTGCCCAGCCATGTTGTTGAAACTCAGTCTCAGGGATCCTTCAATAAACAGCTTAATGAGAATCTTGGATCAATGTTAAATGAGCAGATTGAACCAAATGGTTTTATCTCATTTGTAACCTATCTAATGTCCTTATTTGGCAGTCTTAGTCCTGTCTATAATCAAGGTTATCCTTGGTTTTGTTAGTAACTCCTCAGCACTTGGTGAAGGTAACCCTGCTTGCTCAGTACTTCTTTTCACAGACTTCTCACTTGCACTTATTGCAATGGTACCTGACAAGTGGAAAGTGGATCTTCTATAGAGGTACTTTTCTCTTACATGTTTCTGTCACTATTTTACTTCAACACTGGATACAGCACAAAAGGCTTATTTACTAAAGAGTTTCCTGCCAATTTTCATGAATTTTCTGGTTGCTTGGAACCTTGCTTCTGAAGTGACTGTCTGAATTTTCCTTTCTTTTTCTTGTTTTGTTTTTTCTTAGCCAAGCTCTCTTGATTGGATTTATAGACACTGTTACTAGAAAGTGTTTGGTTACTTAGCCGTACTGAGAATAATTTGACAGACCGTTCATCTTTTGTATGGTGGTGATTATGAAGGACCTTTTTGGCCACTGCTTGCATAATTTGGGCAGTGGCTACAAATAATACAAATACATTGTCTACAAATGTCAGTTTTCTGTACCCCATGTCCATATGATCTATTTAAATATCTTTTTTTGCACCTCTGCCAGCACCATTTACTTTTTGACAGACTTATAAATGAGGGCTGCATCATATTGTGTTTCACGAAAACCTGCATGACAAAACGTCCATCATACAACAATGCATTTAACAATAATGTAGGAATGTTTAAGATTATTAAGAGACATTGATAGTGCTGTTGGTGCATCATCTTTTTTTTTTTTTTTACTTTAAAGTTAAAAAATTACATCTACAGTGACTACTAAAAATTTTGGCAGGCCAGGAGTCATATTCAGCTAAGACAGTTTTATTTTTCTATCAGGGTGGTTGGCCTCTGGGATGGATTGATTTCATATGTTGTGGATGCAGTAAATTTAAGAGTTTAATGAAAAACTTGATAGATATTTGATAGAATACTACTAACAGCAATAAATTCTATAGGCCAGTTACTCTATTAAAAAAATAAAACTGTCTTAACTGGTGCTTAGCCTGTCTTCACCAAATCTCGTGTTCTCTTATCCCATTATCTTCAGAACACACAATTCAAGTGTTTATCCTATCATTCCCATGGATAAGCATGTAAACTTTAATAATAAAACTTCTAAATCTTTTTCTCAAGAACCTTTCCATCCGTGAGAATGATCATAGGAAATAATAAGTCAAAATCCTTTTTTTTTTTTAGAAAAAAAGACCTAAACTTTAAATAACATTCCAAGTGAGACATAACTAGATATTTGTAAAGAGAGATAATTCCCACAACATATTTATAAATACACCTTAAAATTCTATTAGCTTTACAACTAGTAACAAAGCTTCACTGACAGCTTGAGTAACTTATCCACCACCGTGCTAAGATCCTTTCATTCCTTCAGTCACACTACAGCACAGGTTCCTATTTACATTAGCAATATGTTCAAAATTATGACAACCTAAATGCATTATCTTAAATTTACAATAATTAAGTCATTTTGCCAAATATTTGTCAAACTTTCCAACTGATTCAGTCATTTATTAGTACCTCACCATCCTCAATACAGTGAAAAAAGTCCAAGAGTTTAATGTCATCAGCTAATTATGCCCTGTAACAAATAAAAAGCAAAGGCACAAGCATTGATCACTCCATTAGTAACAAAGGTCCAGTTTAACTGAACTCCATTATATAATATCACAGTTTAAAAAACATCACTTAGAAATACAGCAATATTCTTTTCAATATAATTAAACATAAATCTGCAAACTAACAAATTTTTAAACTAGGACTTTTTTAAATGTTAAAGATGTTTTAAAATACATTAATATTAGAGACTTTACACAAATTTGTATGTTCAGATGTGCACATATTACACATTACCCATAACAAACCCTTACCCCTAAAAGTAAAACACAAGTTGTAATTTCTTCCTTTTACAAAACTAACTGCATTACTTTACACCAAGAAGTGTAGAGGAAACCTCTGTTAGTGTTAGGACCTACAAAATGTGACTACGTAGACACTGTTATGAATCAAGCTGAAAAGTCACATGCTTTAATCCTTTAACTAGTTTAAGCTATGAAAATTTAAGACTATATACTATGCTCTGTTTATTTCAATTTATTTAACAAAAAAAAAATGTAAGCTTATTGGAAAGTGTTCAGAGAATAGTTACTAGATTTGAAAGGGTTATGTAAAAATCTTAGATATGTTTTCATTAGAGAGGATAAAGTCTCGAGGGGTAGGGAAGCAATACCGAGATTTTGGTTTTAAGCTTGTTAGATTTAAAATATACAACTCCACAGTCCAGATAATAATTTCATATAAAACAATTTGCATACAGTTAGATTTAGAGACAACAACCTCAAGATATGGAAAACTCAGACACAAATTGTGGTGGCATATGGCACTTTACAAGTTTCTGAGGGGAATTAACGACTTATTGAAAATGATGGGCGGATTTAAATTTTAACCTTTTAAAAATCAAATGGTCCCTTTTTATCTATATATTATCTTATTCTTATTAATAGAGTGGTTAGCCTGTGACATAGATGTCTTCAGGTGTACATGTCAAAGGCTGAAACACTGAGGCCATACAAGAGGAGACTGGATGAGTATATTAGAGACCATGGTTAACTATAACTTAAGAGAAAAAAAATGTTTCTTAATAGAATTTGTGACATTCACAGGATGGTAGTACAAAGTGGGATAACCTGAATGTGTTAAATTCCCCTTGGAAATTAAAACATCACTGGTACCTGGATTTCCCTGTACATGAAAGAGGCACTAACCTGTGACTAAGCATGATTTTTATGTTGTTACTAGTTGGTCTTCAAGTTTCATTTAGTAATTAATGTCAAGATATGAATTGATACACTTCTATAATCTACAGAGTATATTCCAGATAACTTATAAGTGACAGTGACAGGCCAAGTCTGTTTTGCTTTTGCCGTATTTATTAAAAGTGGCACAGAAAACTAATAATTTTGTTCTTGCAAACGATAATATTCTTACAGTTACACTACACAGTGAAGTCACTTACCAGAAATCCAATTACGTATACGCACACATGCAAGTTTGTATATTTTTCCAAAGTGCTTTTCATGTTGATTAAAAAAAAATATTAGTATTTAAATTAAAATAATATTATGGAAACAGTTCTCAATCTTTTGTCTTTTAAAAGAAGATTCGTATTATATCATGTATATATACTGAGGTTAACAGTATCAGTAAAATCGCGTGTGCTAGCTTTTACCAGAAACAGAAGATCAAGTAACTCAGGATAGTCGTAACCTGTATTGTAATCACATGATAGAAATTGTACTCATAGCCTTACTCATAGCCTGGATAGTACTAGTAATGAGACATCAGGTGTGTGTGTGTTCAATAAAACCAATAGCCCAATATTTTCCGTATTTAAATTTTGTCAAGACTTAGAAACTTCAACAGTCACAACTTAATCCTAATTTAACGTTCCAAGATTATGTATTAAATCACAATGCATCAAGTGAACTCAAAATTAGATATGCACTGCGCGTCACCATAATATTGTTGCGTCATCGAGATCACGTGACTGGTGTGGCGCCCTCTAGTTTCTAGAACTATCTTGTTTCTTCATGAATGCTCTAGTATTTACTAGATGGGGTAGGCTGGTATACATAAGAGGGTGACAACGTAACGGGATAACAATGTGTGTAGGTAGTGAGTAATTGATCTGCAGTGAGAAAGTATTG